AAACAATTCCAAAGGTTTAGGCAATGTAACATGATATTTTGGTATTAAATTTCAAGAGCAATCATGGAAAGAACAGTTTCTACAAAAGAGACCAGGCATACTTTACCCACTCATATGTTAAGTAACAAAAATATAATAAATTTTCTGGTAATTCAAGAAATCTTTTAATTTATTTATCTTTTCAAAGCCCAGCTACATCACCACCATGGTCACCAAAAACATACAATAAATTTCATATATTTGGTGGAAGAGTAGATCAGTAAAAAGCAGGCAAAAAGGCATTTTAAATTACTTGGCTCTCTTCCCTATTTTATTTAGACTGACTCCACTTCCATCCTTTCTTTAATAAGAAATTTGATTTAATTTCCAGATAGCTACTAATAAAGGATATTAACAAGTTGCAAGCTCAATGATTTAATAGTGTTATTCTATATGCTATGCCATACATGCCAACAGTACATAAATTATGTTTTTGATAGCATGCTTAGATTGGCTATATATTTTGAAGGGGAGGGAAAAACAATATAAAATCAGCATCTAAGGCTCAGACAAATTTCCTCCCTGAAATCATCTTTCATCACCTTTTAATTTCTCCTGGAAGATATCAACTGCTAGTGACAATATTTTTGAAAGATACTACAAAACAGCAGCTGGTCGGCTATTTGAACTTCAAATCCTCCTCTCAGCTATGCTCATTGAGATTTCCAGAAACTGTAGTCCCTGTACATCTGGATGGCACTTGGTCAAGAAAGGCTGGATTACTTTTGCATGTTGTCTATGAGTGTGTGTGTGTGTGTGTGTGTGTGTGTGTGTGTGTGTGTGTGTAGAGTAATCCTTGCCATCAGCTCCTTGCTACTGAGAAGCCACTCACTATTAGTCCTGGGCAGGGGTGACATCTACTACTGGTTCGGTAGCTATGTGAGTGCAAAATTTAGTACAATTTGCTTCGCGCGCATGCGCAGGAACTCCCGCGCATGCGCAGAGCATCAAAAACGGATGCCTGCAAATGTAAGCAAACAACATGGAGGGGGGGGGGAATCCACTGTGCCACACGATTTAGATTAGCTAGAAAGCAAGAAATCCTGCTAATATAAACCACACGTCACAGCTGCTCGTTGGAAAAACCGGTTCGCCCAAACCAGTTTCATTTTTTTTACTACTGGTTCGAGCGAACCAGTAGCTTTTTTATTACTGGTTTGGGTGAACCGGTCCGAACTGGCAGCATTTCACCCCTGGCCCTGGGGTTCCCTAACCATTCCTTACTGCAAGGAGGGTGTATCTGTTTGATCAGCCTAGCCCAGGTTGATGGACCCTGTTCGGTTTAAGAGGAACTTGGGGCTCTTCCTGATGCATTGTTTGATTTAGGCCTTGGTGACCAAGTGGAAGGAAGAGCATGGCCTTGGATTAAATCACACCTGTTTAAACTGTTGCTGCCCATCGATTCCAGACAATCGTTATGGTTTTCTGGAGAACTTCAGATGAAGCAGCAAAAGAGAACCCCAACTCCATTGCTGGAAGAATAAATACGATTTTGAGTATTGGTAAGAGGAGCCTTTCTTCAGAATTACCTTATGGCAATAAGAGCGGCAAAACATCACCATTGTTCTGTCAGCTACCTTTGTTTAAAGTAATCCAGTCTCTTCCACAGAAGGAGGAGGCTGGAGAAACAGCTGCAGGAGTACTGTGAAGATTAAGCGCCTGACAGATAAAATTGCTTTGATTCACTCTGTTAAGACTCCATTTATGTAGAAATTGACTAATCTCTAGCGCGTTTCCTTCTGGAAAAAACTGAGAAAGTGGACAAAATGTTTAGTTTTGTGAGCACAACTGTGTATTAGATCCTTGCCACTCTTTGTTGATTAAGGCCTTCATAAAAGGAAAAATATGTGGTTGGATCCAGCTGGTAAATGCGTGGTTGGGGGAAGAGCATGCTTCCTTTGGCTCCGAAAGATGGAAGTGGTCTATCTCTTCTTCAAGAAGCATCCCTAGATCCAATAGTACTCAGCAATTTTTGCTTGTTCTCAAATATTTCCTTTTAAGAAAAACTATTGAGATGATCTTTGATTTACAGAGGACCTTGGAGAAATCAGATTAGGTGGATCTTTCAGTGTGGTTTCAGATGCTGGTGCTGAAATAGCGCTGATCACACTTGTAGATTATTTTTGACAGGATTTGGGTGGGCTACTGCATCCATCTTAACCCTACCTGATTTCCCACCAACTTTTAATACCATTAATCAAGCCTTCTCTATTGACTTCGAAGTAGGAGTGAGATGTATGGTGTTTCAATGGTTCTCTTCCTTCTTCCAGAATCAGTTCAAGTCAGTGTTGATGGAGGAGAATAGATCCGAGACCTCTGCTTTCATTTTATTTGATCCTATTTAATATCTACAGTACATGAAGCTGGATGAGGCCATCCATCAACAGGCCAGCTGTCCTGATGATACCTAGTTATAAATCTATACCCCAGGCCAAACCAGATGTTGCTCTCAAATTACCTGGAAGCTGTGAGAAAAACAGACTTCAGATTAACAAAAGCAAGAATGAGGAAGAGGCAGTGCCTTCAAGATAGTCTTGATTCCTGCCCAAACTACTACTTTCAAATTTCTACGCAATTTTTCTGAAGTGGTTTGTTGTTGCCTTATTCCTAGGGTTGAGAGACTTGGCCCAAAACCATCTAGCTGGTTTCATGACCAATTGCAGGACAAGAATTCAGTCCGTGTTTGTTGTCTGTTGCCTTAATTACCAGACTAAAATGTCTCAGCTGTGGGTTTGGGGAATTTCCCAATACTGGAGGAGACTCTCCACTATTGATTCTGGATGGCATTGCACTCCCATAGACAACACTGGTGCACAATTTGAGGATCCTGTTGGATTCTCAACACTTGCTGGAAGGGCAGATGGTAGGCAAGAGTATTTGTGGATGCACCATGGTGCGCCCAGATAACACCACTACCTTGCAAGCTGTACTGGTTCCCTATAGGCTTGTGAGAGTAATTCAAGATGCCAATTGTGTAATACTTTAATTATACATTCCTTCTTAGCATAGGGTTATTTTTGGCACTGCTTATCTTCAATTAGCTTCGCTCATTCCATGATATCCAGCAGAGTAGCATGCTTCTCTTTTTTACCTGGGACATGTAACTTGTGGGATCTAGAAGGCAGGTGTGCCTTCTCTCTTGCAGTGCCTACCTTATGGTACAAGGTTCCCTCTAAAGGCCTGATGGCCCAAACTTACTGGCTTTCTGTAACATGCTGAAAGCCAGACCTCCCCCTTGTGCATTGAGCCACAATATTGGATGATCCCATCCAGAATTGAAAGGACTTGAATGTAAAGCCCTGTGGTTGGTTGATTTATTCGGTTTTCAATGTTGTGTTGCTGTATCCTGTTTATTTGGTCTTTTCCCCCTCTTATCCTCTAAACATTTGTAAGCCTGAATAGTCACTTCTGTAGATGTCTGGCCATGTAATTCAAATCAATCAGACACATCAGGGTGGGAGACGAGATCAGTGACGAGCGATGATCATAAAAAGTAAAATAAAATGCAGGTGCTTTTTTAATTTTTGGTTGATACACTCTAGCTAAATTGTCTTTTCTCTTGCCTTCCAAGTATTGTAATCAGGCAATGCTCATATGATTCTCCCCGCCCCGCATTGTAAGGAAAGGAGATGAGAAAGAGGTAGAAGTAGAATTGGGAACTTGAGAGACCGCCTGCTGCCAATTACCTCCAATAGATCGATTAGATCCCACAGATTAGGCCTCCTCCGAATTCCATCCACTGGCCAATGCCGATTGGCGACCACCCGGAGGAGGGCCTTCTCTGTGGCTGCTCCGGCCCTCTGGAACGAGCTCCCCGTGGAGATTCGAACCCTTACCACCCTCCAGGCTTTCCGCAAAGCCCTTAAAACCTGGTTGCTCTGACAGGCCTGGGGCTGACAGATTCCCCGCCCGAATTGTGTGGTTGTTGAGTGTTTTTAAATTGTTTGTAGTTGTTTGTCCGTTGTTCC